CGAAGCCCTGTGCGAGAAGCCCGCCCCCGTGAGGGGGGCTATCGCCGCGGCTGTGGGCGAGGGGGCGCGCGTGACCCGCGCGGGGGTCCAGCTGGAGATCCAGCGGCAGATGGCTGCGAATGCGGCCCAGCCTGCGGCTCCACCTGGGGGCGCGCCCGAACGCACTGGGGGCCCGCGCCGAGCCGCTTCAGCTGTTCGCGGACGAGGCGGCGCGCGTGGGCCTTCCTCGGGACGACCTGCAGGCCGCGCTGGCATTGTCGCCGGCCCCCCCCCCGCCGCGTGTCCACGTCCGTGCCCCGGCGCCTGCGTCTGTGTTGGCGGCGGTGTGGGTTCAGAGGGGGCTTGGGGGCGCGCGTCCGCCACTCCCGCCGCTCCTGGCGCCGCCGCTGCTCCCTGCCCCCCCGTGTTCGGCAGTGCCCGACGGCGTCGGCGACGTCGTCGGGGGGGCGCCGTGGGAGACGGGCCCCGCGCGAGCAGCATGCCGGAGTCCACCTCAGAATTGGCGTCGCTGTGTCCGCGGGAATCTCTCCGGCGGTCGGGACAGCTTAGAGCGGCGAGGCGTCCCCTCCTGGGGGTCGCTCGGCGACCCTCTTCATCCCGCCGCCTGCACGGTGACCGAGGGGGAGGTTGCCGGAGCGTCGATGAACGCGCGGGGTCGCGCGTCACAGGGGGCGGCCGCAAGTGCAGGTGCAGCGCGGGCAGGAAGTTCGACCCATCCTGAAGGCAAACCTTGCGCGGGCTCAGGGGTGGGGCCGTCTGCGATCACCTCCATGGCATTTTTTGACGGGAAAAAACGCGAGCGCAGCCCGCTGGGGGCCCGCCCAGCGACGCGCGATGTGCTCGCCCATGTCGCGTGGCTGAGCGCGGAGCTGTGGCGCGCGTCCGAGAGCGGGGGCGCGGGCAGGGTGGGGGCCCTGATCAGCTGCCAGTGCGTGTCCCTCGACCATCTGGCCGGGGGCCGTGGTTACCTGGGGGCCGCTTGGTTCATGGCGGGGCCGGAATAGGCTGGGAACGCTTCCCGCGTGGGCGACCCGCGTCCGCGCGGAGAGGGAGGCCCGGATGCCTTTCTCTCCGCTCGTGGATCCTCGCTGGCCGTCGGCTCGGGGCGACTGCGCGACGGGGCCGATCAGTCGGGGGGGCCGGCGACGGCGGCGCCGGCGCCCGCGCGGCTGGGGCCCCTCCAAGGGCAAGGCCCAAGGGAGGGAATCTTCATCAAAAGGTGCCCCCAAAAAGGCCGGTGGGGCCCGAGGGGGGATCCGCGCATTTTGCGCGCGGTGGCCGAGGGCGGAGGCCGCGGCGAGTCGAGGGGCCCGACGACGTTGCGGCCGCCGAGCGCGCTCGGGCAGAGCGGGGCCGCGGCCGTGGGCATGTGCTACTCCAGCGATGTTGTTGCGGCCCCGCAGGATGACGCGCGTTCCGCGGTCGCGGCTCTCGCTCCGCCTCAGGCTCCCTTCGTGCCCCGTCGGACGTCGGGACCTTCGGTTCATCCTTGTCTTTGAATGAGCGTGTTCTACCGCCGCTGGCGGAAAACCGGGGGGGGGTCACTACCAGTTCGAACCCTCCCCCCACACCTCCGGAAAAACCGGGGGGGGCCGCTGCCGGTTCGACCCCCCCCCCCCCAGTTCATCATGAAAAAAAGGGGGGGGGGGTCACTACCGGTTCGACCCCCCCCCCCTCGAACTCGAAAGCCGGGGAAAACCGAGGGGGGTGCGGACAGTGGTGGGGGCGGTGGTGGTGGGGACAGTGGTGACAGGGGACAGTGGTGGGGACAGTGGGACAGTGGTGGTGGGGACAATGGGACAGTGGTGGGGACCGTAGTGGGTGGGGACAATGGTGAGGACAATGGTGGGAACAGTGGGGACAGTGGGACAGTGGTGGGGACGGTGGTGGTGGGGACAGTGGTGTGGGGACAGTGGGAATGCGGTGGAAACAGTAGGACAGTGGAGGGTACAGTGGTGGTGGGAACAGTGGTGAAGGCGGTGGCGAGGACGGCGGTGAGACAATGGTACCAGTGGGGACAGAGGTACGGGTGGGGAGGGGTTCGAACCGGTAGTGACCCCCCCCTCTGGTTTTCGAGGGGGGGGGGGTCGAACCGGTAGTGACCCCCCCGGTTTTCGAGGGGGAGGGGGGGGGGGAGGAGTTAGGGGAGGGGGGGGGTTTTGCGGGGGAGAGGGGGGGGTATCCAGCAAGGGGGGGATTTTCGGAGGGGGGGGGGGACCCCCGGGTTCCGGAGGAAAAGGGGGGCAATTTTCCACAGTAAAGCGGCGGTGGATCACGCTCTCTCTAGCGGTGCGGACAATGGTTCGGCCGCCGCTTTTGCCATTGCAAGGTCGCGCCCTTTGTCGCTCACCTCGCTGCCTTTCCGCGTCTGTTTCCGGGCGCGAAAGTCGATGTCATTCATTTGTGCCGCTGTGCTGGCCCAGGTAGGGCACGGTGCTCGGTGTTCTTGCTTCTGTCTCCGGCTCATCCATGCGTGCGCCGTTTGGGGGCGTTCCTGCTTCCGAGGAGTGCCCTCCCCGCGATCCTTTGCCGCGCCCTCCAGCCCCCGCTCTCGAGCCTCCCGCGGCCTTGACGTCGGGTCACTCTCGCGAGCGTCGGCGGTTGAAGCGCGCCGCGCGCTTTTGCGCAGCGCGTCGTGACTGCGCTTAATTGGCCGACCCCAGGGGTGCCTGGCCCCGCGCCTCCCGAGTCTCGCGCGCGTGCAACGGTCTCCCTTGCCGGGGGGGCGCGCGGGGCCGCGTCGAGCAAAACTGCGCGATCGCAGTTCGCCTTGCTTGCAGGGGCAGGAGCGACTCAGAGCGGGCGCTCGCGCAGTCCGATGTCGCCGGGGTCTCGCTCCATGGTCTGGCCGCCCACGTTGCAGCTCTCGATGCCTCGTTCCCCTCGTCCTCCTCCCTCGTGCCTGCCCCCGTGTGGGTTTGCTCGAGGAGCGCTCTTCCTGTTGGCTAGTTGGCCGCCGCGGCGGCCTGGGGCTCCGCCCGCGCCGGGCCCTTCTACCTTGAGGTCAGGGCGTCCCGCATCAAGTAGGATGGCTCGCTTACGTTCGACCCCGCCCCCCTATGTCCCGGACTCTGGGGCCCACGCTGCCTCTCTGCGCCCCGAGGTCGCGCGCCTTCCGCGCGGTGTAGAAGTGGGGCTTCTGCGGCGCTCTGTTTCGGACTTCCCCCTCGAGCCTCGCTTGGGACGAGGCGCGTGGGGCATTCGGAGTTCTCGTGGGCGACGACTTCGATCGTCTGATCCTGAATCCCACGGTGGTGAACAGTCGCTGTCAGAGCATCTGCTCCAGCACTCAACGCCTCGGCCAGGGCTTCTTGCTCTGCCGTATCAGCCTGTCTCCTTGCGTCTGACTTGTAGTGTCATGTGCGATGATTTGCGCGAGTTCTACTAGTGAATCGCTTCGCTCATTCCGCCGACCCATTGGGGGGCCTCCGGGAGGCACTTTTGAAGCCTCTTGGGGGTCGTGTTGGGGCCTCTTGGGGCCTCTCGCGGGCCTCTCAGGGCCTTCTGGGGGCCTCCTGGGGCTGAGGGCTGGATTTTCGATTCGTGGTCCCCTCCTGGGTCCCCCCTCTAAGGCCGTTCTGGGGTCCTTGGGCCGTCTTGGGCTGTCGTGGGGCCATCTTGGGCCGTCTTGAGGCCTTTCTGGAGGCTTCTCGGACCGTCTTGGGGCGGTCTTGGGGGCCTCTTGGGCCGTGCTGGAGCGTTGGAAAGCCGAGAAGGCGAGAACGCCAAACATTTTCCAACATAACGGGAAATTTGCAATTCGTTCTGTGGGCCCTCTTCCGAGGTCTCCTGGAGGCCTCTTGCGGCGTCTTGCAACCGCTTTGGGATGTCTGGAGGCCGCGCCGTCGGCGGGGGAGGGGTGCGGGCGCTCCCCCAGCCACCGAGGTGGAAGTGGTGCTCGCTGAGCTTCTGCTCGCACGCCAGCTCCAGCGCCGCCCCGCTGAGTGCGTCCCTGCAGCGGAGAGCTCCGCCCCGGTCGCGTTGTCGCCAGTGGCTTCTGCTCGCGCTGCTCGCGCGGCCAGCGGTCCGTCCGAGACTCTGTCTGCACAGTCGACGCTACCGCCAGGTGCGAGCGACGCGCTGGGGTGGCGCCTGGAGGTGGCTGGCGAGCCACTGACCGTCGTCCGCTGGTTGCCGGACTCCGACGAGGCAGCCAGCCCCTTCGCGCTGCCCCTCTGCCTCTGGCACGCTCTGCGGCAGCGTCGCCGTCTGTGCAGCACCTGCGGCCCGTGCCCAGTGGAGGGCCCCGACGCGTTGCTCGCAGTGAGCGCCGTCGTCCCCGTTGGCCTCTTGAGGGATGAGGCCGTCGGCTCCCTCGTTCAGGGAGCCATTCGGGGAGTGGGCCTGGGGACAATGTGACCCGGCGCCGACGGGCTGCGGCTTTGGCCGCCGGGCTGGGCGCTTTGTGGCGCGCCGGCCTTGACGGGGCCACGTTCCCCGTCTTGGACTGGGGTCGTCACGGGGGGCCCCCCGAGCTGCGTTCGCCTGGAGACGTCGCAAGAGAGTGCGACTCTCATGTGGCCTGCCGGCGTCCGTGACCCATGCGACTGCGGGGGTCTCGAGGCGGGGGGCGCGTTGCCGGCGGAGGTGGACGGCTCGGCGCGCCGCGTCGCTCTCAACGCCCAGGTCCCTTTCGGCGACGGAAGACAGAGGGGTCGACTACTGCACCGACATTGGAGCGTAGGCTCCCCGCGTCAGGTCGCGGGTAAGTGCGTTCGGTCTTCACGCGGTGTGCCGCGCTCGCGGCCTGCGTAAGCCACCGCGTACGGTCGCTATGCCATCTCGCATAGAGTTCGCTTCTTTCGTCGCTCACATGAAAGAGAATATCGAACATGTGCCAGATAACTTGGCAAAGCGCCAGGCACTCAACCCCTCGCCCTGTGCAGCATTGCTGTTTGGATTCGACTCGGCGGCGCCAGCAACGGTGGCAACGGTGGCGGCGGTAGCAGCAGCGGCGGCGGCAACGGGATCGCTCCGCGCGGCGACGGCGATTTCGCGAGGAAACCATCCGCGTCTCCGCCGTCGGCGCAGGACGATGGCCTGGCGGAGCGCTCGGCTGCCGGATGCCTGTGGTGTGCTGGCGGTCGCTTTGTCGTTGCTGCTGGTCGCCAGGGCGCCACTTGCCGCCCCAGCTGGCCTGGGGCTTGGGGCTGTACTGGTCAGAACGACGCGTTCGACCGGCCGGAGACCGGTCTGTGACGCGATGTGGCCGCGTCTCGATGGCCCGATCGTTCTGTATGTCGGCAGTCGTTGCCGCTGGTCGCTGGGTTGCTTCCCGCCGCCGCCGCCGCCGCAGTCGTCGTCGATGTCGTCGTCGTTGCCTGCAGGTTTTTGCTGCTGTTGGGGTGCCCTCGTCCCTTCCTCCTTCTGTTCCTTCCCTCGTCATCCTGACCCCCCTCCCAGTCCCCCTCGAGCAGAAGGGCGACCCCCCGAGCCGCGCCGAGGTGGGCGGCTCCGTGCGGGTCGACCCCGCGGCCGCGCCGGTCCGCAGGGGCAAGGGCCTCGGCGAGCGACAACGACGGATCTCCTTACCTATACAACCCCCTTTCGGATGGTAAGGAGGTTGGGAAATGTCATTCCTCGAGCAGGGGGACGAGGAGGAGGAGGAGAAGGAGCATGAGGAGGAGGAGGAGGAGGAGTCGCCTGCCCGCGCAGCTTAGCTTAGCCCCACGCCGACCCGCTGCTCTCCCGCCCTTCCCTCTCGCCTTCCCCCCCCCCCCTGCGAGGCGGGGATGTCTCGATGACCACCTCCCGGGGGATCGATCTCCGCGGACCTCCAGCAGCGGTGGACATATAGATGGGGATATGGATATGATTATGGTTAAGGATATGGAGATGCCTGTCTGTTCTTGTCTGTCTGTCTGTCTGTCTGTCTGTCTATCTGTCTTTCTGTCTGTCTGTCTGTATGTCTGTATGTATGTATGCATGCATGTATGCATGTGTGTAACTTGGTATGTATGTATACGTGTGCGCACATACAACAATATTTCCATGCATGTATGTATGCATGCACGTTTTTGTTATGTACGTACGTATGTATGTATGTGACTTTGTATGTATGTATGTCGGTATGCGTGTATGCCTGCCTGCCTGCCTGTATGCATGCATGCATGTATGTATGTATGGATGTATGCATGTATGTATGTATGTATGTATGTACGTACGTATGTATGTATGTCTGTCTGTCTGTCAGTCTGTCTGTCTGTCTGTCTGTCTCTCTGTCTGTCTGTCTGCCTGTCTGTCTGTCTGTCTGTCTGTCTGTCTGTCTGTCTGTCTGTCTGTATGTATGTATGTATGTATGTATGTATGTATGTGTGTGTATGTCTCTATGTTTGTCTGTCTGTCTGTCTGTCTGTCTGTCTGTCTGTCTGTCTGTCTGTCTGTCTGTCTGTCTGTCTGTCTGTCTGTATGCATGCATGCATGCATGCATGCATGCATGCATGTGCATATATACATATATATATATATATATATATATATATTCGGGCCCCGGGGGCCAACATGCAGCCCGCTGGCGGTGGACATGGCTAGGTCCCCGCCTCCCACCGCCCCCCTCCCTCGCGCCCCGTCAGGCCGGAGATCACCGCAGGCACTCGCACCACCACAGCCGGCACCACGTCCACCACAGCCACCACGGCGACCACCGCAGCCACCACAGCAGCCACCACAGCAGCCACCAGCACCGCAGCCACTACGAGGACGGGGCAGGCTCGGCCGACTGATCTCTCTCTTTCTCCCTCTCATTCTCTCTCTCTCTCGCTCTCGCCCTTCCTGCCTCTCCATAGGTGGGATCTCGCTGTGGATCTCGTTGTGGATATCGCTTTGAGTCCAGATCGCATTGCACCGTCTCTCGTTCTTTCTTGTTCTCTCTCTCTCTCTGTCTCTCTATTTCCCTCTTTCTGTATTTCTTTCTCACGCTTTCTCTGTCCCTGCCTGTACCCTTGCCTCTGCCTCTGCCTGTCGTGTCTGCCTCTACCTCTGCCTCTGCCTTCGTCTCTGTCTCTTCCTCTGTCTCGGCTTCTTTCTATGCCTCCGCCTCTGTCTTTGTCTCCGACTCTGCCTCTTATGGTGCCTACCTGTCCGTCTGTGCTATCACTCGTAGTCGTCGTTGCATCTATCCAGTTGCGCTGCCCCCCCCCACACATCCGCCACTGCGCTTCCAGAGCAGGTATAACTGATGCACTTCTAGACGCGTCGCGTAACCCCACGAGCCCATCCATAACACGACGCCCAGGCGAGTTGTCCTGATCAGGCATGTGGGGGACCACGCAGTAGGAAAAAGGCTGGAAAGCCGTCATACCCCAAGAAGAGGAGGATGGCGGAGCAACAAAAGGAGGATGAGGAGGAGGAATTTGAGGAGGAGGAGGAGGAGTTTGAGGAGGAGGAGGAGTTTGAGGAGGAGGAGGAGTTTGAGGAGGAGGAGTTTGAGGAGGAGGAGTTTGAGGAGGAAGAGGAGGAGTTTAAGGAGGAAGAGGAGGAGGAGGAGGAGGGAAAGGAGGATGAGGAGGAGGAGAGGGAGGAGGAGGAGGAGGAGGATGAGGAGGAGGCGGGAGGAGGAGGAGGAGGAGGAGGAAGGAGGAGAGGAGGAGGAGGAGAGGAGGAGGAGGAGGAGGGGGAGAGGAGGAGGAGGAGAGAGGAGGAGGAGGAGGAGGAGGAGGGGAGGAGGAGGAGGAGGGAGGCGGAGGCTGGCGCCTCTTGCCGACGTGTTTGAGGAGCTGATGGGTTTGTAGAGTTTAGGGGTTTGAGGAGTTTAGGGTTTGAGGAGTTCGAGGAGGTTGGGGAGTGAAGGAGGAGGAGGCGGAGGAGGCAGGAGGAGGTGAGTTGGGGGAGGAGTGAGCGGAGGATAAGGAGGAGGAGGAGGAGAGGAGGAGGAGGAAGAGGACTTGAGGAGGGGAGGAGGGAGGAGGAGGAGGAGGAGGAGGAGGAGGAGGAGAGGAGTTTGAGGAGTTGAGGAGTTGGGGAGTTTGAGAGTTAGAGGAGTTTGAGGAATTGGAGGAGGAGGAGGAGGAGGAGGAGGAGGAGGAGGAGGAGGAGTTTTAGGAGTGTGAGGAGTTTGAGCGGTTGGAGGAACTTCAGGGGTTTGAGGAGTTTGCGGCGTATGAAGGGGTTGAGGAGTTTGGGGAGTTTGAGGAGCTTGTGGGGTTTGAGGAGTTTGGGGAGTTTGAGGAGTTTGTGGCTTTTGATCAGGAGGAGTAGGAGGCGTTTGAGGAGTTTGAGGAGTTTGAGGAGTTTGGGAAGTTTGGGGAGTTTGAGGAATTTTCAGAGGGGGCAGGTGGGTGTAGAGAGCAGGCGGTTAACATGTTGGAGCTTGATGAGTTTGATGAATTTGAGTGGTTTGAGGGGTTTGGTGAGTTTGAGGAGTTTGAGGAGTTTGAGGAGTTTAAGGAGGAGGCGGAGGATGAGGATGATGATGAGGAGGAGGATGAGAAGGCGGGAGGAGGATATTCAGACGATACAGACGAGGAGGAGGAGGAGGAGGAGGAGGAGACGTTTGAGGAGTTCGATGATGAGGAGGATGATGAGTTTCGGGAGTGCGCGGGGGAGGAGGAGGAGGATGAGAAGAAGGATGGGGAGGAGGAAGAGGAGGAGGAGGAGGAGGAGGAGGAGGAGGAGGAGGAGGAGGAGGAGGAGGAGGAGGAGGAGGGTGAGGAGGGGCAGTTTGATGAGTTTGAGGACTTTGAGGAGTTGGACGAGTTTGAGGATGCTGATGAGGAGGAACTTTTGGAGGCGGAGGAGGAGGATGAAGCTGGGGAGGAGGAGGAGAAATTGGAGGAGGAGAAAGAGGAGGAGACAGATGAGGAGGAGGCGGAGGAGGAGCTTGCAGAGTTTGAGGAGTTTGGAGAGTCTGAGAAGTTTGAGGATTTTGAGGAGTTTGTGGGGTTTGAGGAGTTTGCGGCGTATGAGGAGTTTGGTCAGTTTGAGGAGCTTGAGGAGTTTGACGAGTTTTTGGAATTTGAGGAGTTTGAGGCTTTTGATCAGGATGAGTAGGAGGAGGCGTTTGAGGAGCATGAGGAGTTCGGGGAGTTTGCGGCGTATGAAGAGTTTGGAGATTTTGAGGGGTTTGGGGAGGAGGGGTATTAGGGAGAGGAGGAGGAAGGAGATGAGGACGAGAAGGAGGAGGAGGAGTAGGAGAAGGAGGAGGAGGAGCAGGAGGAGGAGGAGGAGGAGGAGGAGGAGGTGGAGGAGGAGGAGGAGGAGGAGGATGAGTTTGAGGAGTTTGAGGAGTTTGAGGAGTTTGACGAGTTGGAGGAATTCGAGGAGTTGTAGGAGTTTAATGAGTTTGAGGAGTTTTAGGAGTGAGGGGTTTGGGTAGTTTGAAGAGGTTAAGGAGTTTGATGAGTTTGAGAAGTTTGAGGGGTTGAGGAGTGTGACACGTTGGAGGCGTTTGAGGAGTTTTGGGAGGAGGCATTTGAGGAGTTTGAGGTGTTTGCGGGGAAGGAGTTTGAGGAGGAGAAGGAGGAGGAGGAAGTTTGAGGAATTTGTTGAGCCTTTGTAGTTTGAGGAGTTTAGGGGTTTTGAGCAGGAGGAGTAGGAGGCGTTTGAGGAGTTTGAGGAGTTTGAGGAGTTTTGGGAAATTGAGGAGTTTGAGGCGCTTGAGGGGTTTGAGGAGTTTGAGGAGGAGGAGGAATTTTAGGGAGGAGGAGGAGGAAGAGGAGAAGGAGGATTAGAAGGAGGAGGATGAGGAGGAGGAGGATGGGAAACGGGGAGGCTCCGTAACCATTTTGGCTCAAGCCAGTTTGGCTCAAGTCGGGCTCAAACTGCGCGCGCGCGCCGACTTGGGCATGGCATCGCGGGAGGATGCGGAATTTGCGCATCCAAGGAGGTCAGCTGCAGAGAGGAAAGCTAGTAGGCAATGGGCGAAGCTGTCGGCGGACAAAGCAGTACAGTGGCTTCGGCAAGAGCTCACTAACTATAAAGAGAAGTACGGCACTCTTTTACACACTCTGGGTTTGCTGCTGGGACTGGATCCGCATGCGGCAGGCCGAATCCTATCGGTTGTACCCGTGCTCATTGCCAAGCTCGAGGGCCCCAACATTTCCGGTACCACCAAACTTCGGATACATTTTGCCCTACATTCGGTGGCCAAAGATAGATATTGACGTCTTCACTGCGTCGCCCCACCAACTAAGGGGAGCAGAACGCGGGCCACGTTTAAGCAGGCTGCCGCTCAACTCGGGGACATCCAGCTTCACGGAGCAGGACATCAACTGTGCCAGCACGGTTCCAGATCATGTCTTACATACCGAGGTGTTCAGGGATTTCGACACAGCCTTGTACTGTGGACTACCCGAGAGTTTCGAGTGGTATTCTGAAGTTCCTACCTTTCGACATCGGGGGGCAGGAGCGGGACTTGAGCAGTGAATGGTGGACTTTGCCAGTGGAAATGGGAACGCCGTTTTTGGCACGACCCCCTTCACGGAGGCTGTTCAACCTGACGATGGGCCTGCCGAGGGCTCACCAGAAGTTGAGGAGCAGCGTGCGCACCAAGCTGCTGATCAGCATGTTGAGCAAGCCGTTCATAAGCCTGCCAAGGACTTGCAAGGTGACAGTTCTGAGCAGCAGCATCCTGACCCTGTCTTTCATCATGATTGCGCTGGGACAACTCAGCCTGAGTATGTCGAAGGGGCTTTCTGATCCTTCTGACCTTTTCGATGCTGCCGTTGCTGCGACTTGGGATCAGCATGACGAAGCCGCTGATCATGTGCATCCAGGTATTCCTCCTGGGCCTGCTGGGCCTGCTGCTTGTCCTGCAGGCGTTGCTGAAGCCGTGCCTCACGACCTGCGTGGTGGTCATGTTCTTCGTTCTGAGGATGACGGTGGTTGTCGAGGTGATCTTCCCACAGAACGGCCCCGCGATGAAGGGCAACAGGCTTTGGGCAGCCTTGCGGGTATCTGGAAGAGTTGCAGCCCGCCAAACACATCTTCAACGTTTATTTTAGGAATATGCAAGTCCCTTGCTGAAGATAGTGCTACAGACCCGCCGGGTAAAAATAATGCTGGGAGTTTTGGGTTGGAGGTCGAGCGCGTGATCGACGCAGAGACGCACGTCGAGTCTGAGCCCTGGCTTCGTGGGCCATTGATCTACCGCGCGCAGCTTGAGGAGCGCGGAGAGAACGAGAAGATGCTAGGAATCCTCGGCACCTTGGCGGCTCACCGTGTTGTTGTTTTGGTCAAATCCGAGAGGAGGGCTTCCGCTCTTGCCATGGTGCTCGAGAAGTGCAGTTTCCCGTCAATTGCATTGCGTTCTCGCGCGAGCCAAGAGGACCAACTGAGCAGGCATCCTCGGGAGCCTGACATACGCATCATAGTCTGCACCAATTTGGTCGACAGTGGCGTGGCCGCAGAGAAGATTAATGCCATCATTAACTACGACTTGCCTGCTGTTCTGGATTATTACTTGCACTGTGTGGGAGGCTGGGAGAGTATTTCAATCATTGGCTTGGTGTTTTTTTTTTTTTTCGGCTACCGCCAGCGATGCCGACGTTCTGGCTACAATCCAGCACCGGCTTCAGGTCAACTTCTGCGATTTGGCCTCTGATGATGGGGTCTTGTTGCAGGTGTTGCAAAGGTGTCTGCAGGCAAGCACGTTTCTGCATAACTGGTGGTGCGTCTCTGCATATCTGCAATCTTGCCCCCAGCTTGGCAGCACTGACAAGTGATTGAGGGAGGAATGTAGCATCAGGCATGGAGTGTTCGACAATTCCACTTTGTTACCGAAGCAGGGTTCGCCCCTCCCCCCTGCTCCCTTCCTTACTTCCGCCCCCCCTCCCTATCATCCTCTCCCCCATCCTTCCCCGATTTCGCCCTTCACCGCGGTCTCCCCGCAGGAAGCTGGAGGCGGTGGAG